TATTATTATTATCATCATCATCTACAATGTGATGACAGCTGGTCAAACTCCACCAGCTGATGCAGCTCATGTTATATGATCTGAGTCGAACTAAATGAGTGAGGTAAGATTTGTCAACTGCTGGTTTCAAGATCAAAAATGCATTTAAAGCTCTGACCTGGGATCTAATTCTGTGCTACATAGCTCTGTGATTTAAACCAGAATTAAAAGAATTAAAAGAAAATTTCACAGAGCTAAACATTGGTTATACTCATTTATCACTGGAGGAGAGCAAAGTGACATTCAGTGCTGTTCTGTGTCTGTGCTAACACACCTTCTTCCCCGCCTGCTTATCCACCATGGCTCCATCTCTGTCGCTCCCAGGTTTGGCCATGGTGTGGCACCTGACTAGCTGTGACAGCTACAGCGCAGTAGGTTCATCATGCACCTGGAGACACAAAACAGCAGCAGTGGTCCGCGTTGGAGGGACATTGTTTGAATCACAGCACAATCAAACATGAACCGGTTGTTAAAGAAAGATCACGTAGCCACAGGTGTATGAACAGCTACACGTCGAGTGGATCAGTAATGTGGGATTTTTATTTAAATTTCCATACCACTTCTTGAGAATGACCTCAGAAATCGAGGCAGGAAACAACTACACGAAGGTAGCATGAATCACAGCTTTAGGGACTCTTTTAAAGTTCTGCTAGGAAAGCATCCCACCTCCCCCCCCAAAATGTTGTCAGTGCAGCCTACTCATCAGTTCAACCGAGCCTCTCTCTGATGTGGTTTGTGTCAGTGTAGTAACACATGCAGCAGAGTCGACGGGGGCACTGCGGGTGACTACAGCGACTCTGCACGAAGCCGACAAGGCGTGTGTCAGTTATCTCGTCACCTGATCGCCGGACGCTCTTTCTCCTGTATGCTCACTGAACCTCTACACGTTCTCTAACACACAAACAGCATCGCCACTGGTTTCACACAAACAGCAGCTCTTGGTCCTGTGAAAGCACCGCACAAACAATAACGGCTATATTAGGAAACCTGAGAGCCGCTGATAAGATGTGAATCAGCCTCCAGGATGAATGGGAGAGCCCCTTTACTCAAAACGCATCCGATTACTACAAATACAACAACCTATGTAGTAAACATTTAATTTTAAGAAAAGAACCGGTATGATTGTTGTTTTAGTACTGAACTTAATCACAAAGCAAATCAGACATTGCTAAAGAGGAGTCTTCACAAGAATTCTGGGGATTTCTTTCTATCATAATCTAGTTGTATCTCTATCAGGACTCTGATGTGACGTTCAGACAATTAAAGTAACGGATTAATCCTTCGCTTGTCTTTTTTGATTTTACTGATTCCAGTTTCTCAAATGTCAATATTTGTTGTTTTCTCAGTCCTTACCGACAGTAACCCGGATTATCTTTGGGGTTTGAACTGTGGGTCGAACAAAACAAGCAATTTGATGACAACTTGGACATTTTATAGACCAAAAACATGTAATTGTTAAGTAGTTAAGTAATTGAGCACATCACTGGAAAATGAACCAATCTTTAAAGTTATTATTTCTTGCCTTGTCATCCTGGTAAGATTAAAAGACACTCTTTAAACTGTCAGGGTCAAAAATGGACCATTACATTGTACAACAGGAGGTTTTTATTTTAAATCATGATTCAATAATGAATGTTGAAATAGGCTCAGCTGTGTCATCTACAGCTTTAGTTTTCCTGTAGGCCAGTAACGATAATCATCGGGGCAATAACAGGAAATTATTACATCATACCGATATCATGACGAATAGCCCCGATAACATATATCATTTTGTCAGCACGGCAGTGCCCCGCTCTCGATATGAGACCTGAATGCCCCGCAGTGAATGCTGCGTTCAAGTGATTCTATAATCAGAAAAACTCCTTTCTGGAAAATTCAAGATATCGAAAAGAACTCGTTAACTCGGTTATAATTTTGGTATTTGCTGACTTGAAATTGATATCCGCAGTAATTTTTCCACAAGTTACACAATGAACAAAAAACATGAACTTAAACCGAAAGAACGACTCGCGGGAACGGGGATTTCCCTCACAAGCGTGGAACCAGCACGGCTAGCTTTACTTTCAAACCAAAGTAACATCGGCGCCATTGTGTGGACTTTTTAAAGTTTATGAAGGGAGACAGGTCTTGTTATTTGCAACAAATGTCACAGAGGTAAATACCAGACTTAATCACCTCAAACCTAATCCCTACACGGTGCAGAAACAACTCACACAAAACCAAATACAGGGCGTAACTCACGGTACCCGAAGTTTTTAAAGTCAGTCAGTCCAGTCAGTCAGGACATTCTCCCCGACCTGAGACAGCTGATCCGAATAATAGAACCAAAATAAACACCCAAAAGGCAATCAGTGCCGACGGAATCCAGCGACGAGGGATTTAAGACACCAGACGCTTCAAAAACACCTATGCCGCTGTCAACTTCTCCTTCACGGACTCTTTTCCCCTCGTTCCACCGACTTGCACTCAAACAAAAGCTCTTCACTGGAGGACGGATTCAAACTGCGGGATCCGGTGGATATTTCCATTGGAGTAGAAATGAATGTGTGGATGAGGAGAAGACATGAATGGAGGTTGGTTTAATGGAGGTGTGTAGCATGGATTTTGACTTGCGGCGCTACAATGTATATATGTGTGGTGTATTATCAATTACGGGTATCGGCCTTTAGATAGATGTCATCGTGCCCTAAATATAACTGAATGCACCAGATGTGTTGATCATCTGGGAAGTTGTCTTTGGAAATTGTGTGGAAAAGGTCAAAGAAATACTTGGCATTTGATTGGATAAACCATCTGTCGATCACTTAAACACACACTAAACTATTACATTATATGCAACATTGGGCCATAGATTTAAGCCTGAGGCGGATTCTCATGTAATCTCAGTAGTCCGGCTGCTTTGCACGGTTACAGTATGAAAGGGGTCAAAACTGACCGCACACGGGCAGCCGTGACCTCCAAAGGACGAGCCGTCAATGCTAAACCAATACTAGTGGGAGATCCAAAAGTACTAAGCAATTGATTGATCGTTTGTTTGATTAAATGTCAGCAAACAGTGAATAAATCCAACATGGCATCGTTATACGTTTTGTTTTGTCTGACCAGAAGTCCAAAATTCAAAGAGGTCTAACTTAAACTCAAACAGACCAAGAGAAAACAGCTAATTCCTACATTCAAGAAGCTGTAACCATCAAATGTTAACGTATTTTATCCTGCCAGGTTTCCAGAAACATCCCGAGTACATCCACATGTTTAAATCTACAGCGCAGGCATCCTGTCATTTGGGTCTTTGTGTTTTGACGTTGTGGACTCGTGAGGCTAACACAGACACCGATCTCAGACGGAGATCAGTAACATCGTCGACACATAACACTGCCATGAGAGTGCTTGTGTATGAAAGTAAATCAGAAATACACACCGCCACTGTGGCTCAATGGATCAGAACAGCCGTCAACAAGAGAACAAGCGTGTTCTGGCGGTTCTTTCCTTTCCCACCCTTACATGGGGCAATTATGTGGTGAACTGAGGAGTTATGTAAAAGCCACAACTCAAGTTCAAGCAGCTAAATGACTCCGAGAGAAATACAGCGACAGAGCGACGTTCTGCCACACATGAAGAGACTTAGTGTGTATACTGTCTGCTTTATTTAACTGGTTTAGATTATTATTTGTGATCCTTATAATTCGTTTGGAGACAGTGTGAGTGTTTTTAGTTTTCTTTAATGTTTTAATTCAGATCCTCATTAGCTACTGTATCGTCACAGTAACTACTCTTCCTGTATTTTTTATAATACTCAAATAACAAAAAAATACATAATAATACATTTTATTTGTAAACGCCCTTTCCATAAAATAATCTCAAAAGTGCATAAGACAAAACCAAATAACAAAGGGCAATGACACATTAAAATCATACAATAAAAATACAAGTGATAAAAAAAAGCTAAAAGAGGAATTGAAGTGCAGAGTGAAATTAGAAAAAGTCTAAGGACATAAAGACACATCCATCACGTTCATACTTACAATGGGACTCAACACATAACACTAACACTGAGACACACAGCAACCAACAAGCTGAAATGATTGGTCCATGTTCATGAAGTCATAAAGCCTCGACTGAAGCTGCTGCTGTATATTAATCTAAATTAAACTGCTTCAGTCTGTTAAAACAACTGATTTGAATCACCTTGTAGCTTTCTTCACCGTTTTCTGAATTCATTGACTACACAGTTAAATCAAGCCAATTCATCTGTAATAAAAAATAACTGAGTTGAGACCGCCTGCTTTTCAAGTAATGAAGTATTTTGCGCACTAGACTACAACATTATTAAGACGATTACATTTTTATTAGACAGCAGAGCTCGTTGTAGGACGTCACACTTGCCCTTTGGCTCTGCAGACGGACTCCAGTCGTACCCATTCCCAGAATCACCATCAATGAGACTTCTCAAAGGGAACCCAACATTCAGTCTCCTCAGAAACATGAACAGCCGTGGCTGAGCCAGAGGAACGGCACAGTGTCGACAGGTATCCGCCGCTCAGCCGAGGCCGGCGAGAGGTCCGTCATTAGTCAGCAGATATGCAGCGGCAGCGTCATTCAGGCCACTGAAAGGGAGAATTGAGCGGCCCGCAGCGAACACGTCGGTGTAAAGAGGCTGGTGTATCGGGGGTATTAAAGCGGTATGGACAGCACAGGACCACACCAGAAAACAAACGCTGACAGGACTCCAATCCGGCCCGGAGACGAGGCGAGGAGGGTGTGACTATAATTACAGAGGTATTTGGGCTCTCGCCAGTTTGGCATTTGCATTCAGTGAGTTTCATGAGCAGCTCAGGGCTGCATAAGCCCCTGCAAGCTCTGCCATTAACCTTGGGCTGTTTCAAGTCTAGATCAGACCCTGCTTTGATGACTACTACCGTTCACAGAGACTAAATCGGAGATTAGTTGACACTGGATCCCGTGCAGAGGAAACAGTGATCGCAACAATTACCTAACCCACTTAAATCCAATCAAACAGGGTAGAAAACTGCAAACTCAGGACTGTGAAAGGCTCAGAGTACTACAGAGTGACCTCGGGATGGCTGGTACCGTCGCCTGTAGTGCAACCTATGATTATTTTTATTACAGATTCATCCGCCAAGTATTTTCTCAACTAATAGAATAAACATTTTGTCTATAAAATGGCAGAAAACAGGGGAAAATGCTTGTTTTCGAGAGCTCAAGGTGGAGTCTTTAAAACAGTAAAACATTCAGTTTAGGTTGAATAAAAGCAGCGAATCCTCACACTGGGAGCTGCTACCAGATAATAGTCTGTCTTCTTCTCCAAAAGTAGATCTGAAGTCAGTTAATATATTCGCAGATATACAGAAAATAGATGGCAACTATTCTGATAATCGATTATTTCATACACGTTCCAGATTCTCCACTGTGAGAACTTTCTGTGATAGTTAATTTGGGTTTCATACAGTTGGTTTGGCTTAAGGAAATTGTAATGTGTCTTTTTTTTTGGGGCTATTTTAATTGTTCTGGAGACCAAACAATTAGAGTAATTAAGAAAATGATTGACAGATTAAATCGATAATAAAACAATCATTACTTATTATAATGAAGAGACTAATCACTGAAAACGTTCCAGGCTCTTTTTTAATATGTCGACATCAGTATTTCCCCTATGATGACGTTCAGCGGTGCTGTTTCATGGTATTCAGACGTACTGGAGCTTAAAACTTCAGGGTATTCCAAGGTTTGTGGAAGACAAAGAGGTGCATATATTCAGCGGGGAATTTGAAGGTCCTCCCCCCAGAAAGTGTTTCACATCATTTGGACCATTATCATTACCATACATGTGTACAAAAGGTTGGGGGAAAAAAAGCAGACAATAAAAACAGAACTAGAGAAACTGGTGTCAAACATTACAAACATTTCCTGGAGCTAAAACTCTGACAGGCTGC